TAATGAGCGCCATTACGGAATTCTGTATTAGCAGGCTTGACCATCTGTCCTGGGGGGATTATATAGAAATGTGAAAAAGAAAAGGCTCAGGCATAAGAAACTAAAAAAAAAGCAATGAATATAATTAAGTGCGCACTCGTATCGCAATCATAGCAACAATTGAAAAAGTTCCGCAAATCCTTCAATCGCTGCTTTGATTGTGATATGAGTGCGCCCATAATTTTATTCATTGCTTTTTTTAAGATTATTGGCTCCGCGTCGCCTGTTCGCCTAAGAATCCACTATTAACTGTAGTGTATTCTGCATCAGGGCACTATCAGTAAACTTACCGGCTGCACAACACCGAGGCGCATAGTACGTCATATCACTCTGCGGAATATCCTCGCCAAACTGGGCCGCAAACCGCTGGAAAGTTCCCAGACATCGGGACTGCGGTCCAGGCGAATCCGCGCTGCTCGCAGCTGCAGCCTCGCTGGCACCACCTTCCGGATCAGGTGGTGTAGGAGGTTCTGTGGCGGCAATCCCCATGCTGTGAAGCTAGGCTCTTCCTTCGTTGCCTTCAGAGACCACCCTAAGGCAGAAACACAAAAGAGTTTGCAACAGTGTCGGTGCATAATATGTGCAGGGAAGATTTCAAGTCAAACCTGTGCCATAGCGCTTCAAAGTTGAGGGTCCAGCAACTCGAGCCATAACAGTACCAATCTCAGGGTACCTGGTGAACCTTAGAGGCAATTTACACGATGGCAGGATTCATCCCGTGCGTGATGCTGCCATGGAGATTAGATTCAGTCACGTGAACTAAAATTTTGATGAGAATGTATCCCGCGAGCTATCCCGGGAATGTCCAGGTGCCATGAGGGGTGGGGGGGGGCATTCCATTGGCATTGCGTGGACTGTTTTGTAATACACGTGCTGTACGTGCATCCTGCCGTGTGCATCGATTTTCGTTTTTCCCGTACAACGGAAAGCTCTCGGGCACACACGCTTCACTTCCCACCGAGATGCCCTGCCGTCGTGTGAATCGCCTCTAAAAAGGTACTTGAACCCGGACCTTGTAAGGAGCCTTGGACTGTGTAAGGCGTAGTGGACTGCATAGTGCATCTTGGATCAGATAGGGCGTCTGGACCTCCTCGCGCGTCTCACATTAGAGTCATTTGGCAGGTCTATCTTGGTCTGCACCCAGTGTGCAGATTCGAATCCAGCACCGCACACCATCATTAATTTTGTATGCATGATAAATCAGCAGGCTTTGCCGCTGCGGGATCACACCAACGGTCCGTTTGGATAGGCATGCAATAGCATGTGGGATGCTGTGCCATTGCACTTGAGATGTCATAATTACATTTGCTCGCAGGGCGCAGTCACCCAGTGTCAGGGAGGTGTGCAAGCTAGGTTGGGTATATACATGCAGGCAAAGGGAGCGTTTTCAGGCCTACTCTCGTAAGTAGACAACCCTGAGAGTTTCAACATCAATTTTTTGTCTTGCAATGAGTTTTATCTACTATCAGGACTTGCACATTTTTTACTGATTTACATCACTCATGTTGCATCTGCCTCAGAAATGATGTTTTCTCATTAGAAAACAATTTTTTACCCCAGACCCCTGTACAATTACAAGACAATCCGTTATAAAACAATTTTGTCTTTGCACCCCTATACAAGACAACATGAAACACCGATTGACCTATCCATGGTCATTTGCTTCGTCTAGCGATGAGGGAATCAAATGTGTGGGTCACTCCCAGCAGACAGTGACGTTATAAGTTGACGAATTCTGTCCACAAACGAATTATCTCATATCCGGACATGCATGTATGACTGGTAAATGCAGTTCGTCAGGGGATTTCGGATCGTTGTCTAACAATGAGGTGTGTGTTGTAACCGATGTCGTACTAACGAGGGTTGACCTGTATTGAGAGTGGCAATACTCGCAAAAGAGATGCGAGAGGGTCACGGAAGCGGGTCAATATTTTTCACATTATAGGAGAATCAATGAATGTTTTAGATCGATCACAGTCTAACCTGTTTTTCATGCAACGTGACGAGGACACGAGGAGAAGTAGTTGATGCGGGTCCCGCAAGGCATCGCTCACGCACGCATGAGAACATCCACGGTAGAATAAAATGTGCTGCTGAGAATCACCTAACAACCGATCGATCTTGAAATACTACACTATCGAACCAAGCTAGCAATCGTATTGCAAAGATAGATTCACCACATTGGCTGTAGAGTGCCACGCAGGAAAGACGCCACCCACAAATAATTGGCTCCTAATTGACCTAACGGTAAAAGCTAGCGGGGACTGGCACGATGCTGAATGGCGATTAGAAACAAACCACAGATCAACTACGACCAGGGTGGCTATAAAAATATAAGGCGGTATCCACACTACAACAAAAACCGCGTACAAGTCACTTTTCCTTGTAAGTTGTCATGGAGAACCGTGGGAAACGGCGCGAAAGTGAAAAAGTCGCTTGAACGTAATCAGCAACTTCCGAACCCCGATACAAGGCCACTTTTTACTTTCAAGTAGCTTTTCCAGGTTTCGGAAGTAGGTAGTTGTTGAAGTATTTGTTGAAGTATCTTGAGAAAATGCCGAGGGTTGTGTTCTGTGAAGAGCTGGAAGGAAAGCTCATTGAGCTGTGGGCTGCAGAACAGAAAGCGAGCAATGGGACGATGAAAAAGCGGTCGGTGAAGGAGAAGGAGATTGCCGTGAAGTTGAATTTATTCGGCCGCGAGCTGTATGGCGATAAATTCCAGAATGAGATCACAGTGCCGATTGTTCACAACAAGCCGGACAACCTACGTACCAAGGCCAGGGAGCAGTACAAGAAATATCGCCGCCACACCGCCACCGGCTCTGGTGCTCCAAGCGAAGACTCCGGCGATGCCGAAATAGATCTGGAAGCTGCTTGCAGAGCTTGGGGTAATTTCAAGACCTGGCACTCACTATTCAAATTGGTGCCGGGATATGGCCCCATTACGAGTCTTAACTCCGCTGCCCTGCCCACTGAAACTGCCGTGGAGACCCTACAGCGACCAGCTCCTCTTCGTTTTGGAGTGGCCAGCTCTTCAAGTTCAAGTCCACTTGAAAACCCATCCAGTGGTAGTGCGCCACCAACCCCTGTGATACCTGCACCATCACCATCACCACGCACCGTGAACATGCACCATGGGGGCCAGTCTTTTGGCGATGACACCGACCATTTTGCACTGGATGAAGCAATGCTTGCAGGGGCCAGTGGCAGTGCAGCTGCCACAGCAGCAGTTACCAGCGCATGCAGCACTCCAGGTCGTCCAGCGGCATACAAACCAGGATCCCATGGCCAAGCATCCAGGAAGCGGTCAAGACACATTGTGCTGGACTCTGACTCGGAGAGCGATGAACATGGGTCCGACAGTGACCATCACACACCTGTCACTCCCACCGAACAGCCAAGTGTGCGTACAGCGGCGGGGAAAAATGAGGCAACCAAAAAGACAAAAAAGACGAAAAGAAAAGCTGCAGGCGAGTCCTCTATATCCGATGCTGTCACCAAGTTGTGTGACACTCAAGTCCAGCTGCAACAGAACCAGCAAACGTTTTTGGCTGGAGTTATGCGGCAACAGCAGGATCATACGCAAGCGCTGATTCAAAGCCAAATGAAGTTCACGGCGGATCTTTTCAAGAAGTGTACCTCTGATGATTGATTTGCTCACGACTTATTCACTATCGTACAACTTGTGATTTTGTTTTTATCTCTTCAAGCAGATCTTCATATTTTGTTTTGACACGTGTATAATAAAATTATGTTACCAAACTGGTGGCAGTTTCTAGTTTGTACTCCCCTGTCCTTTTTTCTCCTTCACTATGAGCATGTTGGATATTATGAAGACTTGGTGTGTGGCCGAAGAACTACTGCACTTGTCGTTTTGTTGCATTCACTTTGCGTATACTGTCTTTTTCTCGCTCCAAGGTTTTGTAACTTTCAATACTTGCTCATTTTCTGCATACAATTGAGTAGCAATTATCATCGTGTGACCAGCAGCAGAATTGAATTACATGTACTACTTTCAGCACATTCAGTGGTCCAATTTATGTAGTGGTGCCAGTGGTGGCAGGTGTGCGAAGACACACTGTAGTGAATACTGTATGAAATTATCTATCGGAATTCTTGATTCACATTGATATGAGATGAGGTGAGGTTCAAACATTGTGAACATGGCGAGCCAAGCAATTGCGAATGTCAATTGCAGGTGATGATAGCAACTCAGCAGGTGGCAATGGTGCATAATTTGCAAGGCAAGGCAGGTATCCTGAATGCCTTCGTTCAATAATGTTGTGGAGTGCACAACTCAGCATGCCAGCTCGGCTGGCAAATTGAGGATCACAGCTGTTGCACTTGGAAAGAACTGCAAAGCGTTCTTTGGCTCGTCCAAACGCGCACTCCACTACACGTCTAGTGCGAATCTGAGCCCAGTTGAATGACTCTTGCTCTGGTGCCAGGTTGCCATCATCTCTGAAGATACGCATCAAAGTTGTAGAGAGTGGAAATGCGCTATCTCCCACCAGATATGGGCGAATGGTTGTTCCATCCGGGCAAAGCCAGACAGGTGCGTTGAGCCAAATTTTGTCATCTATATTCCGCTTCAGTTGACTGATGTTATAGACAGCAGCATCTCCCGCTGAGCCAGGCGCACCGATGTCCACATAGGTAAACAGACCACGGCTATCAACACACGCTAGGAGAAGGATTGACGTGTAGCCCTTGTAGCACCAATAACGGTCACCATACAGAACTGGCTTTGTTATCTGCGTGAAAGTCCCATCCACAGCACCGCAACACATTGGTAGATTGCTCAACTCCTCGAAACGTCTCATGGTGCGTAGGAGTTGTGGCCCAACAGGAAAGACGATGGACTCTTGCGCGACTTCAGCATAGAGGGAGTCGATAGTCTGGTGGACAATTTCCCCAACAGTGTTCGAACCAATGAAGAACAGGGCAGCGATCTCAGAATATGTTTCAGAGTGAGCAAGAAAATACAGTGTTATGGCAAGGCGCTTGGCGGGGGAAATCGTCTTTCGAAGATGTGTTGTGTCCCTCTCAAACAAATGTCGATATCGGCACAGTAGGAACTTGAACGTCTTCTTGCTCATCCGAAAACTAGATATCCAAGCCGATTTCCACCAACGCCTGGACACCAGCCTCACGCTCTCCCAGTTCCCCAGCACTTCTCGTTCCCAGAAACCTCTGCCACCGTGGGTTTCATTTTCTGGATGAGCGGTCCACAATTGACGGCCAAGCGAAGTAGTGCTTGCACTCAGGAGCAGCAAGAGTCCTGCTGTGGGAAAGAAAGAAGATTCTGACTGTTCATCCATTTCCAAATCGCGCGTGCAGTCAAAAAAACTTGATCGGCTCAATGATTGGCTGAGGTATGTCGCAAACAGCAACCTCTTTCGTCTTCGATTGTCCATAACTGGAGGCATTCTCCTCTCGAATCAACAAACAGGGAGACATAGGTAGGAACAACAAGATAAAGCCTCCACGAACAAATTTCTGAGTCGATGGTTTCTCTTTCAGATCAATGTGGAACTCTCTGAGATAAAATTTTGAATATGAGGGGAAATTCCCGCGGGCTCTCCTCAAAAGTCACGTTTCACGCTGGCTGTTCTTGCGAGTGTGGATGCAAGTGCACTTGCACGCCCCTTGAAAGAGGACGCTACTACGTTTCACACCTGTAGTGTGGATAGGGCCTTAAAGGGGAAGTATACCCTAAAATCAAATTTTCACCAGTTGTAGTCTTCTGGGTGCTGAGTCGAATGGTCTTGGTCCGAGGAAGCTGCGACGCTCCCTTCCTACTTGAATCCCAATCGAACTCGCGCACTTCCACCGAAACTGGGTGACTGCGCCCTACTAGATGGGGATTTGTATGCAAAATGTCACTAAAAGCGCCATTTCGTTCTTATAAGAGCATGGATGACCGCGATTGGCCCATATGTTGTAGTCTTTTGGACGCTGAGTCGATTGGTTTTGGTCCGAAAAGGCTGCGATGCAGCGTTCCTCCTTTATTCCCAATCGAACATGGTTGAACAAGCGGTCACGTGCTCCTGCGTACGCCAGTCACCTGGTCACCGTGCCTGCTGGGTACAACTTACTAGCCTGTTTGACCTTTTTTGGGTGCAGTCCTGTCACTCGAGTTGAACTCGAGTTGAACCTTGGTGTGAAAGTTGTCGCCTGCTGGCGTGGTACCAGGGGATTTGGGCACCCAGGAGCACGTGACCGCTTGTTCAACCATGTTCGATTGGGAATAAAGGAGGAACGCTGCATCTCAGCCTTTTCGGACCAAAACCAGTCGACTCAGCGTCCAAAAGACTACAACATATGGACCAATCGCGGTCATCCGTGCTTTTATAAGAACGAAATGGCGCTTTTAGTGACATTTTGCATACAAATCCCCATCTAGTAGGGCGCAGTCACCCAGTTTCGGTGGAAGTGCGCGAGTTCGATTGGGATTCAAGTAGGAAGGGAGCGTCTCAGCTTCCCCGGACCAAGACCATTCGACTCAGCACCCCAAAGACTACAACTGGTGAAAATTTGATTTTAGGGTATACTTCCCCTTTAACAATTTAAAAAATAGTTTGAGCGACAGAAAGTATTAAAAGTTACCGGTAGTTTCTGAGAAACTGGTAAAGTCTTAGGGGGCGTTCGTTTTGATCTACAGGTTTGGGTAGAAACTACTTCTTACGGTAGAGGTGTTCGTTTTTTGAAAAAAATTCTACTCAAGAGGGTAGATTCTACTTTCCTCTACCGGCTTGTAGTGATTTGCGATAAGCCTCCGGTTTTAACGATTTGTTTTACGGAGATTTTCCATGTGTTTTGAAATTAAATTATTTGCATTCTTTTATGATAATATGTTATTTGATATTTCTTTGCATAAATATGTAGCGTACGGTACTCGATTAGTACCACGTGGATCTACGTTAGGTTTGTCCACTTTTGCTTTTTTTTTTACTGAGCCTCTTGTACGGGCAAAATAACACATTTTGTGAAGAATCAACACATATATAAAAACGAATCATCATATACAGTATTTTACAGAGTCTGTCACTCAGTAGGATCACTGCATTGTGCAGGTTCACTGGATGCGTGCCTCCGCCGCCACTAGCACAGCAGGGGACTCAGGCATGGCAGGAGCAAACATGCTCCTTGAGCCACGCAGGCACATAGCACCACAACGCACCAGGGCAAACCCAAGGCGGCAGCGCAGCAACCCCACCACAACGCACCAGGGCAAACCCAAGGCGGCAGCGCAGCAAGGAGATAACCTGCCCGTATGGCTCCTTACTCTTCTCAGCCAGGAGAGAGGCGATCCGCGTGAAAAGAGCATTGGCATGCTTGCCATAGCCACCAGAGGCAGAGAGCACAACGGGCACGAAGGAGGCATGCTCAACTTCACGTACTCGCTCCTCGTACTTCCGGCGCTTTTCCTGTTCATGGCGTCTGTAGCTAGCAGCGAGGGAGGTGGCACGATTCGAAGACGCAAAAGGGTTGAACACCCGTACATCAATAAAGATGCGCTCGAATCGGCCACCCCACACACCACTAGCCGCAACGTCCAGCCGAGCTTGCTCCTCCGTGACAGCTGTGCGATGGCGGAAGGCCTCTCCGGTGACGGGCTGGAGGTGGGGTTCCACTGTCACGTTGTGAGCGACCTGCCTTAGAGCTCTGGCGGTGATGTCCCTCACCTCGTTGTGTCGCAGCGTCGGGAAGCCACCAAACGGGCACGACAGGGCGTGACTCACATTCAGCGGCTTACTGCACACGCAGAGGCTTGGGAGCCGAGGAGGTGTCCAGCCGTACCGGAGGCACAGGCCATCCCGGAAATCTCCCTTGCTGAGTGTGAAACCATGGCGGCTGAGGGGGCGGCAGGTCAGCCAGCTGGATGCACCCTTTTCTGAGGCCAGGTCGAGAACAGGGGCCAGCTCCCGGTGATCCGAGCGAAGAGCGTCAGCCATAGACTTGAACGCGCTCCGCTTCTCGGCCCGAACCGTCGCCTTGACCGTCCGGAGCTGAGTCAGAGAGTCGCCAAGAGACGACTCCTGCTCCAGCAGGCGAGACACGAGGCTAGCCGTGATCCTTCGGGATGAGGTGTACTGTTCAGCCACTGAACAAGGGTCTGCCATACCCAGTCCCCCAAGCCGGCAAGGCAGAGAGAGTAGGGAGCGAACAGTTGTCCCAGGTGGAGCCTGACCCGTGATGGCCGGGATGAGCCGACCGCTGATTGCGTGTTCCAGCGGTTCAAGCAGGGACGGCGGTATGGAGGAGGTCCGGCAGAGGAAGGACCACTTGTTTTGCAGGCCCTGTGTGAAGGCGGAGTAGGCGGCCTGTGGCTGCGATGCAGCGATGGTCGTGAGCTGCGCAACTTCCTCACACCAGGTGGCGACCTTGGACTGGACAAATTGTTCCATAAACTCATCCGTGCCCAAAGGTGCACCAAGGTGGCGGCAACCATCACACGTGACCTGCACACCGGTCCCCTCGAACATCTCGATAGCAGCTGCGTACCTGGAGGGCTTGACCAGGAGGAGTGACTTCTGGGCATTGCAGTGGTAGCCATACCCAGGACCGTGGCTGACGAGATTGTCCCACCATTGGCGAACAGGCGTTAGCTTGCCACCGGCTGCAGCATCGTCCGCATACCAGCCCTGTTTCGCACCAGGCACTGCAACTTTCTTGATGAGCGGGAGGACTCCAAGCGCATATACGGGCATGGCCAGAGGGTCACCCTGAGTGGTACCCTCGCACGATAGCAAGCACTCTCCATCAACGAATAGGCGGGATGGTTGGCGGTAGGTGTTGATTGGGTACTCATGCATGCACGTGTCTTCCTTTACCGTACACCATTCGTGTCCTTTGCCGGATATTTGTACTCCTTTTATTGCACGTTGTAATTATTGCATGTTTGTACATACGCTAACTTTGGCGCACTACACATTCTGTATTTTCTCTTCTATAATGGCACAAGGATTCAGAGAATCCTTGAGTAGTCTAGACATTAGTCTTCACCATGCGGTTTGGCCTTTCGGTGTTCTTTTGCAATGAATAATAACAGTGTAGTCTGAGTAGTTTTCCTGTGGATTCCCGGTGGATTTTAGAATTGAGATGTGCTAGACGCATCAATTGGTGACCCCTCGAAACGAACTCGGATGTCCTCCTCGGGCTTAGGAATGGACCAAGCTGTCACCCCTGCTCGTGGTGACCTTAGCAAAGGTCTCTCTTCTCGACTACACTCGCCATATCTGAACAAGACAGTGCAGGACAGTACCGGTAATGGCAGCGATCCTTCAAGCACCGCTACTGATGTAGCTACGAGATCCCAACCTGCCGCTGCAGCACAATGGGATCCTGATCCTCGTCCTGAGACAGTATCAACCGTTAATTTGAAGATTCCACCCTTCTACATTCAAGACCCAGCTCTGTGGTTTCTTCAGGTAGAGTCTCAATTTATCACACAACGAGTAACTAGTGAGCGCTCCCGTTTCCACCATGTGGTTGGTGCACTGCAACCGGAGATGGCCATGCAGATAAGGGATTTACTGCTGAACCCACCCAGCGACCGCCCTTACACTCACCTGAAGGAAGCATTGGTCCAGCGTACTTCTGCCTCTGCTCAGCATCGGATCAACCAGCTCCTATCTGCTGAAGAGCTTGGTGATCAGAAGCCTTCTAACCTATTGCGCAGACTGCAACAGCTAGCTGGTGATACTCCAGTGGATAGCCAATTCCTCAAGGAGTTATTTATGAAGCGTCTGCCCGATCAGTGTAGAGTAGTACTTGCAGCCAGTCGTGAGTCTGATATACAGCAGTTATCTCTGCTAGCTGACCGTGTCATGGAAGTCATGCCACCCCATGTCCGTGCTGTTACGGTGCCAGAACCCGTTGCTGAACCTCTGGCGGAGTTGCGTGCCGAGGTCGCAGCCCTCCGCAGAGAGATGCAAGATTTGAGTACTCGTGGGCGTTCAGCATCTCGATCGCCCACACGAAACTACGGCCGTTCGCGCAGTTCGTCGCAGTCCCGTAAGTCCTCAGGATTGTGCTGGTATCACGACAAGTTTGGCGACAACGCTCGTCGCTGCATCCCACCCTGTGCCAGAGC